TGGCGACTTACTTTATCTCAACATGTCGACATGACGACTTCATTATCTCAATATGTCGACATGTTGAGATAAATTAAGTCGCCATGTCGACATCTTCAGATAAAGTAAGTCGTCATGTAGACTTATTTATGTCAGCATGTCATGTTATTAACACTGGGGTGATTTCCTGTGGAAACTTATAGAGATCCATAAGTGCACTTAAGGATCTCTACAATTAAGTTTTAATTCCACAGGAAATCACCCCAGTGTTAATCTGGGTAGCTTGCAATTGGGCGAGTAGCGAAGTATTACAAATGGCATAGAAAGGTGCGAGACTGACCTTTACTCTTGACTCGAGCATATAGTGAAGGGTACAAAGGGGAGATAAGTCAGTCTCAGGAAGGTGCATGTTTTCAAAATACAACCAAGGGCGGATAACTATATATGTCTATGTGACTATATGTCTCACCGGTGCCACTGTCTATACTGGCATGGTCTACATAGTGTACGGTATCGGGTATACGTACAATGCATATATATATATATATATATACATGTACATTCTTACGGTGACATATAAACCTGCCACATGTCGACATAAATTAAGTCGTCATGTCGACATGACGACATAAAATAACATGACATGCTGACATAAATAAGTCTACATGACGACTAATTACTTTATCTGAAGATGTCGACATGGCGACTTAATTTATCTCAACATGTCGACATATTGAGATAATGATCGAAGTCGTCATGTCGACATGTTGAGATAAAGTAAGTCGCCATGTCGACATCTTCAGATAAAGTATGTCGACAATTAGTTATGTCGACATGTCGTGTTATTGTATATCGTCATGTCGTCATGACGACTTATAATTTATGTCGACATGTAGAGATAAATTATGTGGACAAGTCAACAAGTCGATGGCAGGTTTATATGCCACCGTACATTCTCTATAAACGAAAAAAAACAGAACAAAAGAGATATCAATACATATATCAACTCGCAGTGTCGCACATATACTGGTGTTCATATAACATACCCAAGTTGCTCAAATCCGCAACCGTCTTTACCGAGCCAGCTAGACAGCATCTTTTTAGTCACCCTAGAGCCATGCATCTCAAATCTTGTAGAAAGCCATCAGTGTGTGAACTGATCACTGTCTCAATACTGCAACAGTATACCACCATAAAGTGTGCATTTGCATGGTAATCCACTATAATGTACATGAAGTTAATCAGTCACCATTCCATTTCTGAAGTAAATATATAATTACGCCACAGCAGTAGTATGGGCCGGGATCGAGGGGTCACACTGTAGGCCTACTGTACACTAAGCTGGCTGCGACACGTACACAGTGACTATGCTTGCCAAACAATGAAAACACGCGGGAAATCTCGCGCTGCTTGCTGTACGATATAGCTGACAGTCTAATAGCAAATCCTCCTAGCAAAGCAGTCTAATAGACTCTCCTCTTTAATAGCAAAGTCGTTGAGTTAGCGACACGTTTGTCACGTGAAACGTGGAAACTTAGCGAGGCTTTCGTGAAACACTCTAAATATAAGGATATCCTAAAACCCCTCTTTAACGTACTCATCACTAACTTAGCGAGAGTTTCGTGAAACGGCCCCAATAACTGTCTCCAGTCTCTCGCTCTCTCCCTTGCTCCCATCCCGCTCCCCATGCTCCCTTATCCCTCGCTCTTGCTCCAGTCTCCCTGCTCTTGCTCCCACCCCATGCTCCCATCCCACTTGCTCCCATCCCCCTTCCCGGGTCCCCCTTGCTCCTACCCCTTGCTCCCATCCCCATTTGTTCCCATGGCCCACCATGTTCATGCGGTGATCCCACGCCCTCAGCTAATTTCATTAACCGTGCATTCAAGTTATTGTATATTTCATAACTAAAGAATAATAACTTACCCTTTTCCCAAAAAATTGATATCCCAAGGCGCCGTCCAACCCGACTCCGTGGCATTCTCCTGGCGAAATGTGCTGTGATGGGCGGGATCTCTTCCACTCGCCAATTTCCCGCGCAAATATGTAACTGTGTGTGTACTACTTCGCTCAATCGAGGACACGCGTCGCTGATGGGTACATCCCGGGATAACCGAGGACACGTGTGTATAGGTCAAAAATTTGATCATACTTTTCGCCGTCCGTGGATACACACACATGCATGGTACAAAACCGCTAAACCGAGGACTACGGCCAATCGCAACAAAAATTCACTGGTTAATACATTTTAGCCATGGGAACCATAATCTGCAGCTATTCTAACCGAGGACGTCCTCGGTTGACGGATGTCTCGTTAGAAGGTGTGTAAACACCATGAATGTCCTCCGGTTTACACCCTTTCGCGGGAAACACACACGACACAATACACACAGCACGACACACACAGCACACACACAGGCGCCCCGACAGCACACACACGCGCACACACACAACACACGCGACAGCTGCATGCACACACGACGCACGCCACCATACAGACGCACGGCAGGCACGCACGGGTACGGGCCCCAAAACACAGCAACACACAAGCCACACATAACACACACACACACACACACAACACATATTATATATATATATATATATATATATAATATATATATATATATATATACACACACCACACACACGCCCCCACACAACACACACACACACACACATATCATACAACAGCAGCCTCCCCATACACACAGGCACACACCACACACACACACACACACATACACACATCACACATACACACTCACACACACTCTCCACACACACATCACACCAATACACACACACACAACACACCACGGCGGCGCGTGGGACGGACACACACATATACACACACACACACCACAGCACACACACACACACCCACACCACAGCGCCACACCGCGACACCCACACCCCCGCACTCAACATCAGCACTCACACTCACACTGCACACTCACACCTCACACTCACACTCCGACACTCCACACTCACAACTCACACTCACGACTCAGCACTCCACCTCACACTCCTACACGCACTGCACGCCGCGGCGCAACTGAGTTGAGGCGCTGCGGCACAAGGCCACCACACAACACACAGCGACAAAATAGCACACACACACACACACACGCACGCAAAATACGCACCGCACAGCAGACGGTCGCACGCACAACAGACGTCACGCAACACCACAGGCACAGCAAACAACACACGATGCACGCACGTAAACGGCGCACGACGCGACACACACGCGCACAACAGTCACACCATCACAACAACAATATATATATAATATATATATATATATATATATATATATATATATATAGCCATATTTTACCATACCCACAGGCCAACACACAACGCAGGCACGCACGTACGCAAACACACACTAAACGCACTCAACACACCAGGCACACACACGGCACACAACGCAAACGCGGGCCATGGGACAGCACGCGAAACCGCAGCACGCATGCGCACATGAATTAATGTACATTATATACACACACTATGCACATACACCACGCAACACACACACACACATCACACACCACACACACAAGCGGGCGCACCACACACACACGGACCACACACACACACACCACACACCACACATCTCACACACACCGCGGTCACACCACACACACCCCATCACCACGCACGCACGCACTGCACGCACGCACGCAAACGCTACGCACGCACATATGCCGCGGCAGGCGTTACACACGCTTCAAGACCCACGCAAGACGAACGCGCACGCACCAGAGCGACGATGAGAACAGAAAGATAATTAGAATGACTGATTTTAAGCTATATACATACCAGTTTTGCCTCTCGTGGTCTCTCCTCTCTCACTTCTGCTTCCTCTTTCCTTCTCCGGCTCCTCCTTCTCCTCTCCTCTCCTTATCTTCTCTTCTCTGGCTATTCTGCTTCAACCGTAAGTTGTTACGATGTGACGTGCACTCTACCGAGAAATATGCCGAAAATATAAGCAACTATCATATATGTCAGTTGAATGCCTGTTACTCATATGACTCTGTGTATGTGTACGTTGTCAACTTCAGATTACTGGATTGGCTTTGGACCTCTCCTGGTAAAGATTTCAGCCTGACCGCAGCAAAATACCACAAAATGGGCGCGCGCTTGTAAGCACTATACGAGTCGCATATGTGATAACGGGGGCTTCTTAAGAAAAACGCACAGAGTTGTAAAACAACCAATGTTCAAATGTCGCTTTGCTTTTTGTTCGTAGCTAGACGAAAAGAACAAGTGCCGGGGGGGCAGAGCGACAGCGCTCACCTGAGACAGGTGTTCTGATGCTAAACCACTGCAAACGAATCAAGAGCAACCTCACCAATCGCCAGGCGTTCGCTCGTCCCCTCGTTGTCTCTCTCATATCTTTCTCGTTCGGCTCTCTTGTTCTTGCTCTCCCTTCCGCTTCACGGGCTCTCTCTCTCGCTCGCGGGGCACATCACTCCTCTCCTGGTTGTCTCTTGCTCTCGCTCTCTCTCTCGTCTTCCTCTCACTCTATTACTTTCTATCTCTCTGCTCTCTCTTCCTCTCTCTCCTCTCATCTCTCTCTCTCTTCCTCTCTCTCTTGCGCTCATCCCTTCTTTCTCTCATCCCTCTCCTTTTCCTCTATCTCGCGCCGCTCTCATCTCTCCTCTCTCACTTTCTCCCTCTCGCTCTTCTCTCTCACTCTCTCTCGATTTCTCTATTATCTGAGCGTAGCGCCTGCCGGGGGACGAGGCTGTGCGACTGATTGTCTATACAGACGTCTGATTGTTATCAGAGCTGATTGTCTGATGGTCTTTCTAACCCTAGGCAAGACTATTTTTTGGTGGAGCTAGCAAAGCGGTAACGTTTTATTTAAGTTCACATAAATCGGTTATACTGAAATATGTTAGATTCGGGCGTGGCACTCCGGCAGCCGGCAAATGTTTATAATAGTTAACCAACCCGCCCTCGGGTTTCCCAGCAGCGGCCAGCGATGGTAAAAAATTATGCAAAAATTGCTTCTAAAAAGCTGACTTGTCCGGCGGAAAAAAGCTACCGGACAGATCTACTTTATCCTCCGTGAAATGGACAAGTAGCGGACTAAACGGATAGGGCTCCTTTATTTTTTCGAACAGCTGGATGGTATCAGGAACCTTCTCGAAGAAATGTTCGTTGGGATCAGTTATGAAAGTTGGCCACGAGAATGGCGGTACGTTTGGACAGATAGACTTGTTAGGATAAAGCTCATCGTACGTAGTATAGGCAACAACTATTTGCAAGACAGAATAGTAAGTCACTCATCATTTACCCTACGCAATCGCCTACAGCTGAAATGGAGTACTGCAAAGTTGAAAGCTGGCCACCTGTAACATAATTAACGCAGGCAAAAAACTAACCCGTACTATCAACACCGACATGCACTGGCAGTAAGCGCACTGGCAGAAGCCACCTGCAAGTGGGCTATAAGTTACATGTAACACACTGACAGTACAGAATGCCATAGAAATTATAACGATTTAAGGCACCGGCATAAACCTTGCTCAACCAAATTAGCTTTGTGAAATTTCACTGTGATATTCGTAGCCCTCATACGTCCAGGCATGGTATAGATCTACTAGCAAACCCCGCAGTGCCACATTTTTCCTAACAGTAAACAAATCCATGTTTAACAACCCTCCTCTTGAGGATCAAAAGCGTTATCAGACACTTACTCTTCGCAGTGTCAGCGGAAAGGTACATTTCATGGTCCTTTCCAGTTATAAAGCCATAAAAATGGTAAGTCACAGATGAAACAAAAAAGTTTTCCAATGCGCCGTCTCCGTCAGACCATGTCCTCAGAAAATGTCTAAAATCTTGCCCTGTGCCCCATTGACCTTTGACCTGTGACCTCCCAATTTCGACACATTGATGGGCGTTTTCCTACCCAATGGAAGATGCTATACACCGACTATCAACGAGGCCTAGGTCGAGCCGTTTTAGGATTTGTGGCGCAATTCTGCATTTCTCTCCAGCTATACCTTAAGTTTAAGGAGGGATATGTTCGCCTTCTTTTCCACTCTTGACCTTTGACCTTGACCCCAGATTCGACATCCCAACTCGTTTTGACGACCGCCCTTCCGACGTCCCGAATACGTGACCGTCACCTCGAGCGTTCAAGATTTGTGCCCAACTGTTGACGGCACGCACCGGACGCACGCAACGCACGGCTGGACGGACGCACGCTCATAGAGATTCTACAAGCTGCATCTGACTATGTCAGATGATGCTAAAAAAACATTAAACGAGGCCGTTCTTGTGCTGTCTCTCTACCAGTGTGTATTGACTGCACTTCGCAAATTGCTCGGAGCCTTTCTGTAGCTAGTTCTGTTATAGTGGTGAGATGACATCTAGAGAGACAGATTGTATTTGAGTTTGAAAACTAATGATCGATTATCAAAAGCCGGCTGTAAAAGTCGCCCTCGTTATATTGTTTCATGTAGGTTTTGCGACGGCCATAACCTGCTTGGAAAGTACGCCGCTAATGCTCTACTATATTATAATTACAAAGTATATATCTCTACTCATGTAATTAAGGTTGAACTAGATGCTAGCCTACATGTTTTGCATAAACGGTGTGTTCGGAGGTGAATAAAATAGTTTGAAACAAAATATGTAGATGTGCGCACGTTGTGCAATTTACACATGCTTAAATTGCATACCTGCTTGAAAGTACCGCTTCATCTCTAAATATATCTTATTTAATTATAAAGTATATATCTGCTACTACGTAGTAAATTAAGTTGCACTAATGCTACGCTACATTTACATAACGGCATGTTCAGATGGTGAAAAATAACATAATTTTGAAACAAAAAATATGTAGATATGCGCACGTGCGCAATTTAGAAATCATATCTTATCATATCATGTCATATCATACCATACCATATCATATCATATCATATCATACCATATCATACCATACACTATCATATCATATCCTATCAAAATTATTTTCTATTACATCTCATCCCAATATCTTGTTATTGTCATTATCGTGGTGTCACAGCAGTCACCGTTGTAACTCAGGGTTCTCCCAAGAGCACTTCTTATAGCCTGGCTATCGGTCCGAGCCCCGCCATGCCTAAGAAATCACAGCCGCGCAGGCTATCGTCGAGGCCCGGCCATCCTAAAATGCACCCGCCACTACTAATATCATAGCCGCCATGCTAAATATCATAACCCGCCGAAGCCTCCTCTATAGCACGCAACCGCCTCGGGATTTGCACTAGGACGCGTAAAGGCACGGCACCCGCCTGCTATAATGAAAAAGCTGGAGAACCCTGTAATTTGGCCAGTAAATCGAATCATCATTAATCATATTCATCATCATCTCAATCGTCATCGTCATCCGTCATGCGTCATCATCATCATCATCAAGTCATCGTCAATCATCATCATCATCAATCATCATCATCATCAGCTCCAAGAAACAGTATTGCTAGGGTTAGAATACCACAATACCTGTATAGACAATCCGTCGCACAGCCTGGTCGAACTACATCATCATATTCATTACTAGATACAACAAGTGCGCGCGGAGCGACAGCGCTCATTAACTCTACTGCGGTGACTCTGTGGTGGAGTGGGTGGATTTAGTAAAACCCTGTTAGTCCCAAATGTTGTTCACACACACGCGAAACAGTGGAATAGCACAGGGACTGGTATCAGGAACGCTTCTGCAACCAGGAGTGTTGCGTTGGATTGCGTTATGTTAAGTTTGCACGGTGCATAGCGTTCGTGATGGGCCGAGGTGGCCCGAACGCTATGAGCCATTGGGAATGCGTTACTGTCACCAGGTCAACAGAAATGGCGGCTGAATATATCTGCCGCTCGTCACTATCGAATTTTTGTAACAGGTTATATAGTTTAATAAGCAGAGTATTCGTGATAGCATAGTAAGTTCCATGATAGCGGAGAAGGTTCGTGTTAGAATAAACCGCAGTTTTTGGAAGTTCTAGTCTGCTGAAAACGCACGCAGCAAACCGGCCCGAGTGATTACTCAGGGTTCCTCACTGAACAACCAATAAG